CCCCCCCCCCGGCAGGTTTGGCTCAGTGGTTAGAGCATCAGCCCATGGACTGAGGGGTCCCGGATTCAATTGTGGCCAAGCGCACATACCTTGGTTGCAGGCTTGATCCCTGGCCCCAGTCGGGGTGCGTGCAGGAGGCAACCAATCAATGTGTCTCTCTCACATCGATGTTTCTTCCCCCCACCCCATTCCCTTCCACTCTCTCTGAAAAGCAATGGAAAAAATATCCTCCGATGAGGATTAATACACACACACACACACATATAAAATTAAATTAACCCTCCAATTCTATTCAGAGAAAATTGATATTAACTGTTTGCTAGTCTCACATATATATATTTTTAATCCTCACCTGAGGATATGTCCATTGATTTTAGAGAGAGAGGAAAAGAGAGAAACATCGATCAGTCGCAGCCTCCACCTCCCACTTCCCCTACCACCCCTCCCCTCCAGTCCCAGTATGCACCCCAACTGGGGATCGAATCCACAACCTAGGTATGTGCCCTGACTGGAAATCAAACCTGCAACCTTTCTGTGTACGGGACAACACTCCAACTGAGCCACACTGGCCAGGGTAGTCTCACATATTTTTTTCAGCGTGCATACTCTAATGCTTTTGAGCTTTCTCTTTCTTCCATTTTATAATATATTAGAGTATCTTTCCATGTCACTACAATAAAGCTCTAAAAGGTTATACCAAATTTCACTGTTATTAACAAAATAACTATTACCCCATTACCTTTCCAAGAATGGGTGCTATCAGTCTTCTAAATGTTTGCGCCATTCTGAGAAGTAAACAAAATATTTTTGCATTTTAAAAATTGATCTTTTATATATGTATTTTTATTGGTATTCCTTTTTTAATATATGTATGACTTTTGGTGTATAAGGTACCTTTTAAATATATGTGGAACCTTTTAAATATATGTAGTTCCATTTTAATATTTGTAGTGCCTTGTTACCTATGTTTGCCTTTTTAATTATGTATTAACTATATATACTCCCTTTTTATAAATCGCCTGCCTATACAAGTATTATATCTTCTTATTGAACTATAAAAGCTCTTTTTCAATTAGCAAAGTTAGAACATTTACTGTTACATGCATGGTAAATATTTTTTCCCTATATTGGCTTCTGACTTTATGGTGATGCTTTTTTGTCTATTTTTCTGAGATACAGAAATATTTAATTTTAATATAGTCAAGTTCTTCTATTATAGCTTATGGGTTAGATGTCATATTTAGAAAGGTCCTCACCTCTTAAAAGTATACAAATAGCTCTGGCTGATGTGGCTCGATTGGTTGGAGCATTGTCCTGTAAACCAGGGGTGGTGGGTTCAGTTTCCGTTCAGGACACATACCCAGGTTGTGGGTTTGATCCTGGGTGAGGGCAAGTGTGGGAGGCAGCCAACTGATGTTTCTCTCTCTCACTCGTTCTCAAATCAATTAAAAGAAAGTATACAAACATTCACATATGCCTTCTTCATGTAATTTTATGTTTGTCTTTTTTAATGTTTAAATCTTTAATTTACCTGGAATTTATTTTGATATAAAGTTATATATGAAACCAACCTGTCACCTAGCCTTCCAAATCACTAACAAGTTTATAAAATTTTTTATAATACAACCTTTATTTTCTAATTCAAAATAAACTTCTAAAGACTGCATTAAGTATTCTCTTAAGCTTTCCAACTCTGCTAAACGAACTCCTATGGCCTGGCCAGCATGGCTCAGTGGTTGAATGTCAACCTATGAACCAGGAGGTCACGGTTCGATTCCTGGTCAGGGGACATGCCTAGGTTTCAGGCTCTATCCCCAAAGGAGGGTATGCAGGAGGCAGCCAATCAATGATTCTCTCTCATCACTGATGTTTCTATTTCTCTCCCTCTTCCTTCCTCTCTCTGAAATCAATAAAAACATAGTTAAAATAAAAAAGAACTCTTATGAACACTAATATATTTGTACTTTTAATTAGAACTTTACGATAGCAAAATCTTTTTATTTTTTTATTTTTTTGTTAATCCTCACCTGAGGATATTTTTTCCATTGATTTTTTAGAGAAAGAACAGAGGGAGGGATGGGAGGAGAGAGACATCAATGTGAGAGAGACACATTGATTGGTTGCCTCCCACACTAGCCCTAATGGGGGCCAGGGATTGAACCTGCAACCCAGCATGTGCCCTTGATTGGGAATTGAACCTTTGGCCCTTTAATGCTCTGGTCGATGCTCTAACCACTTAGCCACACTGGCCAGGGCTCACTAGGAAAGATTTTATTCCACATAAGTACAAGAACTCCAAAAGCACTAAATTAACTGATTTTCAGAGATATATATAAGCAAGTCTATTTAATATTTCTAAGTCCTTACTATGTATGGCACATTGTTTCTGTGCCATATATATATATATGAACATAAATGAGAATNCTAAGTCCTTACTATGTATGGCACATTGTTTCTGTGCCATATATATATATGAACATAAATGAGAACATAATTATTATACTTGTATCCTATATTTCATTTGATAAAAGAATCAGATATTTTTAAAAGGCAGAGTTTGAATTTTTAAGGGAACATCTTTCAGTTACAGATACCTAAGTCAATCTTCTCTCAAGAGCACTGTTTTGAGCCCAGCCGGTGTGGCTCAGTGGTTGAGCATCGACCTATGAACCAGGAGGTCACGGTTCGATTCCTGGTCAGGGCACATGCCCAGGTTGTGGGCTCGATTCCCAGTCGGGGGCATGCAGGAGGCAGCTGATTGATGATTCTCTCTCATCACTAATGTGATTCTCTCTCTCCCTTTTTCTTTCTGAAATCAATAGAAACATTTTTTTTTTATTTTAAAAGAGTGCTGTTTTGTCTAGCTTATCTAACCTTTTTATCATCTGAAATTGCTCAGCAATATTATTTCAATCAGTAACTATTTATTGAGCTCTTCCCAAAAGTGGCCAGAGGTGATCTCTGAAAATGGTTCCCTATTTACTTGACCCAGAAAACTCCACAAAATCACACAAATCAAGAGGTTGAAATCTTTTTTTTTTTTCTTTCTTTTTTTTTAAACAAGTTTCTGAATAGGCACTCACACNAAACTCCACAAAATCACACAAATCAAGAGGTTGAAATCTTTTTTTTTTTTCTTTCTTTTCTTTTAAACAAGTTTCTGAATAGGCACTCACACTTTCTTTTTTTTAAATATATCTTTATTGATTTCAGGGAGAGGAAGGGAGAGGGAGAGAGAGAGAGAGAGAGACAGAAACATCAATGATGAGAGAGGGATTGATCGAGCCTACAACCCAGGCATGTGCCCTGACTGGGAATCGAACCCCGATCGCCTAGATCCCAGGTCGACGCTCAACTGCTGAGCCATGCCCGGCCAGACAAGAGGTTGAAATCTTCATGTTCACTTTAAGAACACGTATGAAACTGCCCAGGCCATTAAGGGTATGCATATTCGAAAAGCCACCACATATGTGAAGGATGTCACTTTACAGAAGCAATTCCATCATTATAATGGTGTATTTGGTAGGTGTGCCCAGGCCAAACAGTGGGGCAGGATACAGGATTGGTGGCCCAAGAAGAGTGCTGAATTTTTGCTGCACATGCTTAAAAATGCAGACGGTAATGCCGAACTTAAGGTTTAAATGTAGATTCTCTGGTCATTGAATGCCTGCAGGTAAACAAAGCTCCCCAGATGTGGTGTAAAACTTACAGAGCTCACCGGCAGATTAACCTATACATGAGCTCTCCCTGCCACATTGAGATGATTCTTACTGAAAAAGAGAAGGTTGTTCCTAAATCAAAAGAGGAAGCTGCACCCTGGCTGGTGTTGCTTAGTGGTTAGAGCATTGGCCTGCATACCAAAGGGTCTCAGGTTTGATTCTAATCAAGGGCTTGTTCCTTGGCTGCAGGCTTGATCCCCGACCCCGGTGGCGCTCGTGCAGGAGGCAACCAGTCTATGTGTCCCTCTCACATAGATGTTTCCCTCTCTCTCTTTTCCTTCCACTCTCTCTGAAAAGCAATGGAAAAATATCCTTGGGTGAGGATTAAAAACAACAACAACAACAAAACAATAATTTGGTTGGCCAAAGAACGTACAGGGAACAGAATAAAACAATGATAAAGTATAATGTAGTTAAAATAAGTGCCTCATGTTAGTTTAATCATCATACAAACTATTTCAGATGAGTAAAGTTATAGTATAAATTCCAATTTGTGCTATACTTTTTTACATTATCTTTTCTGCCTTCCACCTACACTTCTTCCCTACCTTATTTTATTAGTCCTCCTAGCACTTCCTAGGCATCCTAGCTTATCTTGTTCCTTTCGTTATGCCAAAGCTCTCCAACAAGCCTTGTCCATGCATGGCCTTGCTCTACTATCCTAGTAACAGAAATTTTCAAATTAAAAAATTCACTCCTCCTCTAACCTATGCCAATCAAAATTCCTATTCCCTTGTGGTTACTAGGCTAAGTGCTAGGAAAGCAATTAATGGTTTTTCTTATAATCTTTCTACTAGTGTTTGCTTATTAACTCAAAAGCATCTCTGGTTTCTCTAGATAACTGGAGTAATCTCAAGGGAAGAAAATTCAAATAGTTTAGAAAATTAAACAATTTGTCCTGGCAAGGTTGGCCCTGAATAAAGTTTACTTTTGGCAAGGCAAATTCTTCAGAATCTCGTCTCATATCACTCTTGCTCACTTCTCCCCCACCTCCCATTAGGATATTACTTTCATTCTGCCCCTAGTAGCTGAGTCGCATCAAGACTTCCAAACCTCTTTTGCTTTCCCAGATCTAGATATTTCATTAATTTTTCTTTTTCCCAATTAAAATTTTCTTCCTTATATCCTGCTTCCTCAAGGCTTTGCTAGCTAATATTTAGATGAATTTAATGTACCAAACCTCCTCCCTGCTATTACCACCTTCTACTTGCCTTTGTCTGCATACCTTCTGAGACAAAATGAGCTCTTTGTTAACATTCTTATTGGCTATACATGAGGATTTCCAATTTTCTCTTGCACCCACTCCAGGCAGGTTTTCATCCCATGCACTTGTGGAGGTTACCGATGGCCTCCTTATGGCTCAATCAATGGTAAATTTTTAAGTCTTCCTGTTTGAACTATAAGCAGCATTTGATTCAGCCAATGTCTCACTCTTCATGGAAACCCTTCTTCATTTGAATTCTAGGAAATCAGTCTCCTCTTTTTCTTCTTTCTGGCTGAGCACGCCTGTTTTTCCTTCTTCCCCAACTTCTAATCACTGACACGTCCAGACTCAGTCCACTGATCAATTTTCTTCCCTATCTACATTCATCCTCTTCATGATCTAACTTAGTCTAATTCACTTTATATGTTTTCTGCTTCTAAATGCATATTTACAAGCTAGATCTGTACTCATAAGTTAGTCACTATCAACATATGGCAATGTCAGTTTAAGTAAATTAAAATTATATTAATATTCAGTTAGTCACAGCGATATTTTAGGAGCTCAAGAGCCACATGTGGCTAGTGGCTACCAAACTGGAGAGCACAGATATAGAACATTTCTAGCATCACGGGAAGTTCCATTGTATAGCACTAATCTAGATCTTTCCTCTGAACTGTATATTTTTATATCCAACTGCCTTCCTGATATCCACTTATATATCAAAATCAAAATCCTGATATTCCTCCCTAAACATGTTCCTTCCATTTTTTCCTGTTTCAGTTGATGTTAACTCTATCCTTCCAGTTGTTCAATCCAAAATCCATGGGTGATCCTTGACTCCACACTCAATCTCACTTCATATTCAAATGATCAGCAAATTCTGTCAGCTCTATATCCAGAATCTGACCACATTTTACAATTTCCATTCCTACTACCCCTGTTTGAAGTCATTACTATCTTTTGCCAGTTGTAATAACTTCCTGATCTCTCTTCTTCTGCCCTTTCCCCACTAAATTCTACTTTCAACATCACAGCCAGAGAATTCTTGCTAATCTCAAAGTCAGATCATGTTGGTTTTCTGTTCAAAATTCTCTAATGGCTTCCCAGCTCACTCCCAGCAAAAGTTAATGTTGCTATAATAGTTCACAGAGGCCTACATGATCTGATCCTATTACTTTTCTAACATCATTTCCTAATACCTCCCCTTCACACACTCCGTGGCAGTCATATTGGCTGTTCCTCAAAAACATCAAACATATTTTAGTCTTCCCATGAAATATAATTTAGAAATCACAAAGTTTAAGAATCACTAAGCTAGACTAAAAGAGGTATAAGATAGAAATTCTATTTCTAGATATCTGGGTATTCAAAGTAATCTACCCATGTCTATGAGATTCCCTAGCTGGTAAATGGAATTAAATAATATTAATAACACAAAAAAAAGGGTATTCCAAAAGCTGCAATCTCAATTACTTCACTAAGCCTGCATCTCACAAAAAAATCAGTTAGCTAGTTGTCTGGAATGGCAAAGACAAAGTAATCAGCTGACCATTATATTTAAAAAATATAAATTTAATTACTAAAAAAACTGTGAGAATATGGGTTAAGACTTCCTATTTGGTAATAGAATAAATATATAAACTTTTATTTGCTAAACTGTAAAACATCTCAGTATGATATACAACTACCTGCTCTGTAAACAAGTTCTACTCAATGCGGCTGGTCCACAAAGCTGTGCATTGACGGTTTGTTTTGAAATAAGAAGCTTGCATAAGAATGGAATTCAATATACTACCTTCCTTCATCAAGAAAATTTTGCTATGAAAATGTTTCAGATTAACTAAACACTGTGCTTTCTACTGTAAATGTTTTACATTCCTTACAAGCCCCTATCTCACTTAAATTGGCATAGGTCCACGAATCATACTTTGAGTAGCACTGCTCTAAATCACCTTCTGGGTCTTTATTCAAGTCTAATCAGTATTTTTTTAAACAGTTTCTGCATGCAATGTCAGAGTTTCTGTGCCACTTCTCATTATGCAGTTTATTGGAATCAACATATATCTTGTTTTCTAGATGTTGCTCCTTATTTATATTACAAAATTCTAATCCTGGTCAGAAAGAAGGCTTTAACATCCAAGAAGGGTAACATACTGATCAAAGTTTTTAATTGAGAGATTAAAAATTATAATTTTAAAATAGACTATATAATAGCATTTCTGGAATGTGATATTTGATAACATACGAGCTTTGAAAATTTTGTATTATTTTAAAAGAGATAGAAAATCATCCACTTTTCAATACTAACCTAAATATTCCATCAGCTGTTCAGCAGTTATGATTTCCATCATCGGTGGAAGTTTCACCTGAAAAACAAAGTATTTTTTCTATAAAGTCAATTGTTTTAGGTGATTAAAGTGTTTCTTCTGTCAGAAATACAAGTATGTATGTGTATATATGTCTCTACTATCTTTATACATTCACATTATTAAAATCTTTATAATAAATCTTTATAAAATATAAGTCAATCCTATTACGATAAAATTTACAGAATGATATAAGGTCTCACAGAGACATTGAGAAATCTGTTTTCAAAGCCTAGTGCTCTGCCTTTCACCACCCACCATGATTGTCATTCGGCACCTGCAACAGTGTCCTGCCTGATAGAAAATGCAATTAAAGGGCAGGAAGAGGCACCAAACATGTTGTGACAGGTGACTCACCATGCAGTTTTACTGAAGAAAGGCTTAAATACAGCTCAATATCCTATCACATCAGTCTACTTTTGCCATTTTTTATTGTTGAATGGTTAACATAAATACAGTATTAAAGTATTAGTCACACACTGAAGAATTCAGACTGCATTATTCCACTTGTAAGGTTTAAAAACAGGCAAAATTAAGCTATATTGTTTAGAGTTGCATACTTTGTGATAAAACTACAAAAAAAGTAAGGAAATGGATACTATAAAAATCAGGATTATAGTTAGCCCTAGAGATAAGAGAAGTGATAGTTGGAAAGGAGCATATAGGACATTTCTGAATGTCCTATATGAGCAGAAATTATAGCAAGTTCTGGGTTGCTAGCAATGCTCTATTCTTGACTTGCATGGTAGTTCTGCTGATGTTTGCGTTATAATAACTTGTTAAACTGGACATTTCTGTTTTATGTACTTTCCTTATTATATTCCACAATAAAAAGTAGATACATATTTAAGTTTCTAAAGCGAATTCAGCTGCAACACACACATCAGTCTAAATTAATTTTTCAAATGAACTGTCATGAGTTACACAAATATCACAGCTAATAATTATAAATATTCTGTCTTATTTAAAAGCATACTCTGTGGTATATTCATAGAAGAAAAAGAAATACTGTAGGATGGAAACTCAAACAAAGTAATTAACATATCAGTGATAGGAGAATAGCAGCATAATTTAAAATTGTTCAGAATTATTTTCTATTTGACCAAAGAAATAATTTAAATCAGCAATTTCTCCAATTCCCCCAAGTGTTGAGGATCTTTTTCAACCTTTTCCCACTGGACTTAGTCATCCAGTGGATTTATCACTCAGTGAAACCAAGGGATTCCATGGAGGTTTTGATCATTACTCAATTCTAATTATTTTCATTTTCTGTTAAAAAAAAAAAAAAAGTATAATAGACTTTTTTTAAAAGCAGTTTTAGGTTTACAGAAAAGTTGAGCAGAAATTACAGTGAGTCCCCATATATGGTATATTTTTAAATTGAAACTCATTAGCAAATTATGGTCCCTGCTTGTTTTTCTAAATAAAGTTTTATTGAAACACAATTTATGTATTTATTGTCTGGCTGCTTTTGCACTACAGCAGCAGAGTTGAGTCTTTGCAACAGGGACCATACTAGTCCACAAAGCCTAAAATATTTACTATCTGGTCCTTTTCAAGAAAATTTTACTGATCCCTGCTTTAGATGATTTTAACTGTTATTATACAATATTATATCAAGGTACTTCAGTACTGCTTTTGAATGTCTGGTATTTAAACCAATAATTTATATTCACTGTGAATGTTTATATTCTGAATTGTCAGACCAATCTAAAAGATCATTATACCTAGCAATGTTTCTTAGATAAGAACTATACATTCTTTTATTCCAGACATATTACACTACTGAAATATATTTACCAGAAAATTCCATAAACAAAGCTTATCCTCTGCTTTGGTTAATGTACTAATCCTACTATAAAATTATAAAGACAAGAAATAAAGTCACGCCCGGTGGGCTTGGCTCAGTGGTTGAATGTCAACCTATGAACCAGCAGGTCACGGTGCGATTCCCGGTCAGGGAACATGCCTGGGTTGCTGGCTCCATCCCTAGTAGGAGGTGTGCAAGAGGCAGCTGATCAATGATCTCTCTCATCATTGATGTTTCTGTCTCTCCCTCTCCCTTCCTCTCTCTGAAATCAGTAAAAACATATTTAAAAAAATAAAAGGCACTAACAAGTACATGTATTTGGGAACTACATTCTACAAAAAAAGTCTCTGCAAACAGATAATTTCAGGCTTTAGCCTTGGAATTTTCAAATAATAACTGCTTACCATGTTTCCTCAAATATTTGAAATAGGAAATGACAACCTCTGTATTGATTTTAGAAGTCAGACAAGTACACACATTTTTTAACTGACTTATTCACAAGTACACTAAGTGGTATATTCATTTTCTGGAACTTAGTCAATAAAATATCTCAGATGTTCATCAAAACTAGAAACAGAAGAGTGTAATAGTGAAGAAAAATGTCTGCTTCTCACTAATACTTTGGAGCCATCAACAGATCTTAATTCTTTTTTTAACCACAAAATGATATTCCTGAAAGTTTGCTTCTCGTTTTGCTTTCCTCTACCACCATCACCTTAAAAGCCATTGCCAAGGTTTTATTAATGATCCTAAGACTTTCACTCCTTTGTCTCTTTAGATTTTATTAAAGAGAAACAGGTTATGGGATAGATAACTAAGAATACAGAATTAACAATTATGGCATTCTGTCTGAAACTCTAAGTTATAAATTTTACAATTTAAAAAATGAATAAAGTATGACCTAGATTCTCAGGTGGTCCTCTTATAGTAATAATCTATAACGTTTATAAGAAAATGAGAGTACTATGTACTTTAATGTATACATGGGTACCTGGAAGGTACTCTTTTTATTTATTTTAATTTTTGTTCAAAATATTACAGATGTCTCTTTTTCTCCCCAATGACCCATTCCACCCTGTCCCACCCCCCTCCCCAGTCCCTCTCCACACCACTGCAGAAGGTACTCTCTTCAGTTCAAAGTCTTCCTAAAACTTAAGCAAAGCCCCTCAGTACATATTAACACATTGTTCCAAATTAATAAGAGTCCAAATAAAATGAAGCTTTTATTCTCTAGAAAAATAAATTATGTCCTATCTTATAAGATTTTATTGTATCAACTAGATTTCCTGAGCAAATTAATATGCATAACAAGAATATTCAAGCTAACAAAAGGAAATAGCTACTCCAACTTCAAATATTCAACTATAAGATAAACTTCATTAATTTAGCCCAATTATTCTGTAATTCTTAGCCATTTAAAGAATAAAGCGTATTTCAGAATAGATTAAAATGAGACCAAAAAGAAAAGCAACAAAACCTCTGTTTAAAATGTTAATAAAACAGGAATGTAAAACAACCCAAAAGTGATATGCTAAGATTTTGATAATCTGACAGGAGAAAGAAATGCAAGGGACCCAGAAAGAATAAAGAAATAAGAATCAGCTTAAACAGCTGATGGTAAGTACAAAAATAACCAGTCAAAGAACACTATTAAATGTTTTATTAGAATATCAATAAGTACTCAAGAAATACATAGTTTGAATTCTAATACCTCTTTAAAGTTGGGAAGATACTTGAGGATATGAAAAATTAAGTATTTACCAGTCTCCACTCTTTACAAAAAACAGGAAAAAATTTATATTTATTGAACTTCTCTTTATTGCCATTCAATTGCATGTTACCCTTAATATACAACAATCCCATGAAGCATGCATTATTACCTTCACTCAAAGACTAAACGAAGGCATTAAAAAGTTAATTTGTCCAAAGTACCAGTGGTATGAATTGAGATCTGACTTCCAAGCTAATTACCCTTTCTACTACATTAGCATTTACGGACTTCTAAAAACAGCAAAACACTTTCTTTCAATGAAATCTTATATAAAACACCATCTGAAATATATTTTAAATGAAGAACTGACAGAACTTTTTGACCAATGAAAACTGGAGGATAATGGGGAAAGAATATTTGAAGTTGACTCCAAGGCTCAGAAGACTTTAAAAATCAAGATCCATACAAGCAATAAAAATAAGAAATTTGATAAGGGAAGATAAGGTTGTGAAGTTTAGTTTGGCATTCAAAGAGAAAGTTGAGCTGGAGCTCAAGAGACAACCACTTTTAATTTATACGTGAAATATTTGATTCCTGTGCTACAGGCAACTTTTGCATTATGGTAAAATGGACCAACTAAATAATGTAATCTCTTCTTAGTTCAAATTTTACTAATTTTGAATATGCAATAAGTCATATATCATTCATAATATTTTTAGTTGAAATTACAGAGAAATTATTTTTGAAAATATTAGAAGTATTACTAATGGAAATCAAAGAGAAGAAATGTAGCTTTTTTCAAAATAAGGACTAAAAAACTTAAATATCCTTTCAACATGCCTTTAAATCTGGCTGTAGCAACTACATCATGCTTCACATTCTAATTTCTTATACATACTATTTATTTATTATAAAATAATTACTTTACTTAAAAACACTGAAATTCAGACTTTTTAGTAAATCTAACTGACTTTCTACTTGCCGTCAGTATTTCAAATCAGCAATGTTTTATAAAAGACAACCTTCAACTTAGGCCAATTTGAAACATTTTACCATCAATTTTTATCATAATTTAGACCCCATCCTCAGACTAATACCAATGCCTATTTAAAATAACTTAAAACCATTAGAAACTGAAGATACATTCACACATATTAGGTTTTCAAGAATGTCCTATTTTATATGCAGTTCAAAGGGTTTGAGAGTAATGAAGGTCATTACAGTGAAATTTACCAGAAAAAGATTTAGTAGTAAAAGAAGACATCTTCAGTTCAAAATTCACTGGATTCATATTTAAGAAGCTCAGCAAGGCTACCATGCTGAAAAGTCTACCCTCCCCCAAATAAAAGTTGACAGTAAAACTTTTACATTAATTGCTTGAAAGACAGATGGACATAGGTTAAAACAAGAAGGCTACTGAAGGTAGTCCAGGTGAGAGACGAAGGTGGCATGAACTAGGGTAATGGTAGTAGAGATACT